TGAGATATAAAATACGTACACAATTACAAATCAACACTCAAAACATTAGTTATCATCTGAAAGGGTGAAGATCAAAAAACTTGTGTTACCAGCAAGACGGCCTTCATGTCCATGAGATGACCTGTTATTACCTTTCCCACCCTGTCCATACCTTGAAGTTTGGGTTACAGTGATATCAACACATGGTCATTCCCTAGTTGGTGAAACTCCATTAACATTCCACGCTCACCATCATAATATGTTCTTCAGTTACTACAACAACATGATTTTTAAGTGTTTGAACTCTTAACAATGAGGCTGCTTCAGACACTCTGTGCCAGATGAGTCATATTATGAGGTCTATAAGGGGCAGTTAAGAGACTTGAGGACTCTCCACCAGGAGAAGGAAGAAATCAGTCTTCAAATATCTAAAAGAAGTAAGGACTAGATGTGGTCTGTGTGACTCCAAGTGGCAAAGAAAGGACAGATTGCATGATCAAACCTCTAGAGGAGAACTTTCTAATAATGTCCTCAACTGGGATATCAGCCTTCAAAGGCTTTGAGGTGTACTGACAATAGACAAGATGACCACTTGGTGGAGTTGTTACAGAGAGAATCCAATGGGAAGTTACTTCAAATTCCTTTCTAAACTCAAGGACCACTTGTTCTAAGAAAGTGTTCATTCTAGGATTCTCAGCAATGTTTTTTGTTTGTTTGTGTTTTTGGCCCAGATTGGGAAATCCTCTCTTTTGGGTAAGATATCTTGTCTTCAGAGTGCCTTTTGGAAGGCACCTCTGCCAGCAGAAGGAAAGTGGAGCACGTTGACCTGTTGGCATCATTAGCGAGGATAACTTGATCCAATTGGCTCCTTCCCCTGGGGAAGCTAAGAACAAGCTTGCAAAAAATGGGACACTTTCAAGCAAGGATGGCCTTAAGGACAGCTCTAATACAGCTCCTTAAGGAGACGAAAAAGAGAAGAGATACGATCAGCTCAGCCAGTTGGAGGAAGTCCTCAGTCAGAGGCAGAACAGCCCTCAACCAGGACCTTAAGGTCATCATTCAGGGGTCAGAAGAGGTTGGGACAGTTCTCACTGGAAAATTCTGCAACTCCATCTGTGTTCCTAGTTGGTAAAAAGCCTTCCTTTTCCCCACCATCCAGCCCTACTAGTCTCTGCTCCTATGGCAGCTACTCCCCAAGGTCAGAACTGGGTCCATATTATTTACTGCTGAATTCCCCCATGACTGGTTCAGAATCTGCCACCTAGAAGGCACTCAGTAAAGATTTGCTCTTTCCTTTACACATTCAACAGATGTTGATTATGTACATGCAATGTGACAAGCACTAGGCTAGGCATCTGGTGCACAGTGAATTAAAAAAAAATCCAATATGATTCTTGCCCTCATGAAGTTCATGGTCTAGTAGTGGAGACACAACAGTCTTAAAAATAAACTGTGTTCAGAATTTATGAATGGACCTAACTATAAGGAAGGGGTGAATATGGGGGAGATGAGAGAGATTCAGGCTGGGTGGTGAGAAGTGGCATGGAAGTAGCTGTCCAAAGGGAAGAGCTATGTGGTGAACTGAATGAAGAAATGAATATATGACTTTGGGACTGGTGAGAACCTTTCCCTCTGCCCAGGAGAAAAGGGCTAAGAGGCAAAGTGTGTTCCCAACAGTGAGGAAAGCTGCTGTCCTCCTGTCAGTGCCAGGCACCTGGCTATGTGGGTGGCTCAGTTGGTTGAGTGTTCATCTCTTGGTTTTGACTCAGGTCATGATCTCAGGATTATGAGATCAATCCCCACTTCAGGCTCCATGCTCAGCACAGAGTCTGCTTGGGATTGTCTCCCTCTGCCTCTGCTCCTCTCCTCACTGGTACACTCTCTCAAATAAATAAATAAATCTAAAACAAAAACAAAACAAAAAAACAAACCCAAACCCTAGGGGCTGGGTTCCCTTTCTTTAGAAGAGGAAGTGGAGCCACAGGAAGGGCTAGTAAGTGGCAGAGTCAGGATTTGAACTCTCCATGAGGCTTTACAACTCATCATCTTATTATTTGTGCACACCCTGACCCGTTAAAGGGCAAGGAGCATCCTTACTTAGACTTCCATGTTGTAGAAGTTTTTTCCCTTCTCCTAGGGAGCGCCAGGACTGAGTAGCTGAGAAGTCAAGTGGGCTGCCACCAGGAGAAGATTTGCTTCATTTTCAGTCTGTGATGCACACATCAGGAAACCCACAAAGGTATTTGGTCCCAGTCCCAGTGTGGGAGCCACTAGGAAAGTGCCAAGGCCCACAGCAAAGAGTTGTATAACTTATCCTGCACCCTCACCTAGAAAGCTATATGATAGCAGAGCCATCCTGACTCAATCCTTCTGGGATGGTGAGGGCATGAGGCTCAGTAGAGGTCCCCACACCTGGGATGGGTGTGAACACAGCCCACGGGAGGGAATGGGGTGTAGTAAGGAGGGAGATCTCAGGTCCACCAAGGGAATTCCAAATCCTCATCCTGATGCTTCCTGGCCTGGAGCCAGCAACATCCCCCCACCTCAGGTGTCCATGTGTTTGGGAGGGTAGACAAGAGGTGCTGCTGCCCCACACAAGACCCCTGTAAGGGCTCTGTTGTCACCCTATACAGTTCCGCCATATGGTAACATAAACAGATCATCGCTTCCCACCTGGGATCCCTTGGGCCTGGAGATAGCCCGGAGCCCAGGAGGGCAGCCTTCAGAACTGTACTGGCCAATGGCAGAGGAGCAAATGCTCATCTGAGGTCAGAGATTATTTTCCCAACTCCCTGTCCAAAATTCTCTCTACCTTCATGTAAGATAGACTGCAGGGTACATTTCCTCCAAATTCCTGCCTTCCCCATCCCATCCGTAACTGGAGTCCGCCTCCTCTTGGCCTCTCAGCCCATGCTAACTTCAGCCATATTTGGGGACAAGTATATATTCCATTGGGGACTTTATTCTACTCCTGAAGTTCTTCCTTTCTTATCTAAAAAGCACAAATTGGGCGCCTGGGTGGTTCAGTCAGATAAGTATCTGACTCTTGATTTCAGCTCAGGTCATGATCTCAGGGTCCTGGGATCAAGCCCCTCATCAGGTTCCCCCCACTCAGTGGGGAGGCTGCTTGAGGATTCTTTCTTGCTCTCCCTCAGCCCCTCCCCCTGCTCTCTCTCTCTCTCTAATAAATAAAATCTTAAAAAAAATAAAAAGCATGAATTGCCAGCATTTATGAGACTCCTTCTGGTGTGCTAGGCAGGATGAGCTAGGTGCTTTACCTTGGTATTTTTATTATTTTACAGCTGAGAAGGGGGTCAAGGGACATTCGAGACACATGACTTCCTAGTTAGTTAAATGGCATGACTCAGGTGAGATTTGAATACCAGTAATCTGACCTCCAAATGAGGTCTTTTCTTGTCTCTCCAGCTACACCAACACCTAGCCTTTATCAGAACGCTGGTGCCTCCCAGCCAGGTACCCAGCACAGATAAAATATGCCCTAAGCCCAGAGGCGGTGATCTCTAGGGGTGTCAGTGTTGTCACTGGTGGTCAATAAGATGTCAAGGCTCCGGAGTACGGGCTTCTGAGCCAGTGGGTTGTGGGCATGGCCAGGATCCACTGCTCTTTCATAAGGGACGTACCCTGTGCCCTCATACCCTCTCCCAGCCACAGTTTTCCTCTCTGTAAATGAGCATAGTAATCTACCTTGAAGTGTTTCATGAGGTTCAAACAAGGCTAATGCAGGGGAGGGCTAGGGCTAGCACATAACATACTGACTGTGTTTTATTTTTTTTGTCTAAAGCAGGCTATAGAGTGGCTCAGAGCCATTGAAACAAGGCTGCTTGACTCTACTGCCGTGTGATCTTGAGCAAGTCTCTCTCTCTCTTTTTTTTTAATTTTCCAAGATTTTACTTATTTATTCATGAAAGACACAGAGAGAGAGGCAGAGACATAGGCAGAGGGAGAAGCAGGCTCCCTGCAGGGAGCCTAATGTGGGACTCGATCCCAGAACCCCAGGATCATGCTCTGAGCCAAAGGCAGACGCTCAACCACTGAGCCACCCAGGCATCCCTCTCTCTCTCTTTTAAAAAATATTTTATTCATTTATTTGAGAGACAAAAAGAGAGTACAAGCAGGGGACAGGCAGAGGGAGAAGCAGACTCTCCGCTGAGCAGGGAGCCTGATGTGGGTGGGACTCCATCCCAGGACCCTGAGATCATGACCTGAGCCAAAGACAGATGCTTCACCGACTGAGCCAGCCAGGTGCCTTGAGCAAATCTCTTGACCTCTTTGTGCCTCAGTGTCCTCTCTTGTAAAATCACTATAAAGGTAGAACCTCCCTCATAAAGATACTGTATTCAAGAGACTGAGCGTATTGAGTGCTGAGTGCCAATGCCTGGAGCAGAGCATGGCAGAGAATAGGGTCTCAATAAAGAGAACGACTGAATAAGAGGCAAAATGTGGCCCCTGGCACAAATAAGCCCGAGTAGATATTGACCATTATAATTGCATTATCATTGCTCTTATCTCTGCCTGGCATGCCTCCCTTCTGGCAAGACCAGAACACTTTCCATCTGCCAAGACTCTCTTCCTCTGTATTCTATAGGGATATAGAATCTCCATCCAACACGTCAGCCCGGCACAGGTGGAAGGTGGCGTGCAGACACAAACAAAATCAGATGGCCCTCCCCTTCCAGATCTTCTGGATGTCACTGGTTGCCTGTATTTACACACACGCACGCACCTCCTCCTGCCCCCTCCCTTGCCCCCAATCCAAGAAAGGACTTGACTGACAGTTCTCTCCCAGGCTCCTAAAGAAGACATTTCCTATGGGGCAAAGGTTTTGTGCTTCACTGTTCAGGATGGAGTCTGTCAATTATTACCCAACTAGTTTTCTCACCAGAGGTCATGAAAAAATAACGTGTGTGTGTTTGTTGTGAGTGAGTATGTGTATGTGTCATGTGTGCAGGTGGCGTCAGGGGAGCTATTGAATATGAAGTGCTCTGGTATTTATATGAAACTGCTCACTGGTTTCAATGACCCATCAGGAAATATGTGCTTGTATGAGTGTGCTTAATCCACGCTCATTTGAAGTGTGCCGGTGCTGCTTTCTCCCCCTCCCTTCTCGTCTCTCTGTTCATATAACCGGGCTGCCTCCAGACAGCCTTTGCCCACTTGCCTCGCCGGTCCTGAGCACACAAAGGTGCAGCACGTCTCTGAGAATGAGTACCTTCTTCTCGGAGACGGTGTGGCTCTGCCTGGCTGTCACCGTAGTGCTGGGAGGACTAGCTCTTGGCAATCTCAGGAAGATCCCAGGGCAGATGAGGAGAAAGGTGGTCTGCCTGGCGGGCCTCTGGGGAGGGGCTTACCTGCTGTTCAGCCTGTCCCTCTCCTGGGGCTTGATCCTCTTCTTCCTGTCCTGTGTCCTCACCTATACTTACTTGTCTGGTCAAGAGTTATTACCTGTGGATCAAAAGGCAGTGCTCATCACAGGTAAGTGCACGGGCGGGCAATTCTCACTCAGGGCAGGATCTGGCACTTGCTTGGACCTTCGCAGGACTTTTTTCAAATCGGGTTTAAAGATAAAATCTTGGCATGGAGTAAATGAAGGCACATCCCCACGTGTCTTTCACTACAGTGTTTTGTTTTGCTTTTTTTCACGAGATGAATTTGAAGATGCTGGTGGTAGGAGGGGACAGAAGGTGAAGTGCACCTAAATTACAATTTTGTTCATTTCCCAGGATAAACATGAATAAGTAAAACTCTGGTATTTCACGTGTTTTGTTGTACTCAGGAAAGCCTCATAGCTTTTTTTTTTTTTTTTTAGGCTTAAACAGAATTTTGCTCAGAGATTAATGCTTGGCTGTGTTCTAGGCTTGGGGTCTTACTCCTTAGATGTGCAAGAAAGTTTGCAAAGTTTGCCTCTCTTTGTACTTTGCTGTATTTTTTAAATATCGAAGGGACTCTTACCCTGGTTGGAAATTTTGCAATCTGCCTGGCTGCTATCAAGAAAATGTGCCTCATCTCAACCTTTTGTCTTCAAATCTGTCATTAGGTTCTTAATGTTTCTTAATTGGATCAAGCTGGCAGTATGTCCAGGAGGCAGTTGCGTGTTAGCTCAGCTGCCAGCATTTTTCTTTCTTTGTGTTTCTTTTTCCACTGCAAGTGAGAAGCCAAATTAAATTCCTCTGTGTTGTAAAACTGGTTTGTTTGGTTGTGAAGTTTGAGCTTGGATGGGGCTTTACTTAGGATTACCCATCGATATCCTAACTCAGAAAGAAAGTCCTGCCAAGATGAGGCATCTGCTGCAGAAGTATTTGCCCACATGCTGACCCAAGGCTGTGACCCCCTAGTATGAAAGCAAACTTGGGGTGTGGATGGAAGCAAATCAGGGCTCTTCTCGTTTCACTGATAAGTGGGCCGTCACATACTTGTACATTTTGCCTTTTATGTTAACCCAATAATGAAATTCTCTTTTAAGATAAAATGCAAATTGGCACTTGTTGGGAGTTTTGGAATGCTATGGAAAACCAGCTCTCCAATGGGGGAAAAGAAATACACCCAAACAGTTCCAAGGTAGAAAATACAGTTGATCAATAGGATGTTTCTCTATATGGATGTTTAGTATTGTCTGGAGTCACGCATCTAGAAGACTGGGTGGGTTTTCCACTTTTTCACTAGAACTCTTATGGTGGGCTAAGTGAAAAGCAGTCCTAGCAGTCTAAAATCCTCCGTTCTATGTGTCATAACAAGTACCCATGGTCTTCAGAATAATTCCAGGTTTTTATTTATTGTGCTTTCCTACTTGCGCAAAAGACAACAAAATAATTAAGCATGTTCAAAACAAAACAAAACAAAACCAGCCATACTGTGCTTGATGAGAATGGGACACAATCTCTTGGAGGTCTAAATAGTCCTGGAAAATAAATTTCAGGGAGTGGTACTTCTCAGGCTAATAAGTAAAAATACTAAATCTTGGGGTAAACTCTGGTAAACTTCAAGGTGACTGAGAAAACAGGAATTCTCTCTTGCTTATTTATCTTCTCAATGAGCTTCATCCTCTGCTTTTGAAGATGCAGGCATGCAGAAATGCACAAAATACACACCCAAGTCAGTTAGCCTACATTAGCCATTGAAATGTCCAGATCGGTGTTTTGTTGTGTGTAAAAGTACTGATTCAATTAGAGACTCAAGTCCAGTAACTAATCTCTCCATGAAATGCTTAGCAATGAGAAAGCTTAGAATTAAGAAAGGAGCTGTACCCATTTAAGGGCAACTGAAATGTCTCCTTAGGGTTCTTTGTCATTTTCATGAGGAATGCCACAGGTTCAGTATAATTCTAGAGGCGGTGTCAAGACCTTTGTACTAAATGGAGAAATTTAAAATGAATTCATCTAGTCAGACCAGAACTCATTAAATAAGTCACCATGACTTGAAATAATAATCTTTGTTTCAGGTTGGCCTATGTTAAAAATCGCTATGCATTTTAGTGTGGTTAGGTGGTGGGGGAAGGAAGACGTGTCACAGTGTCTCATCAAAAGCCTTGCATTTTATTCTTTTAACTGACAATTCAAGATTTGGAAACTTCTTTTAAAGAAATAATCTGAAATATGGAAAAAGGGTAGACACAAAACAAAATGGCATATTGACAAATTTATTCAGTGCCATCGTTACAATAATGAAATATCAAGAGCAATAAAAATGGTGACAGGCAATGGCCTATCCTCTGGGTGTAACAATGGACAAGCATTAAAGATGAAAACCACGTGACTGTGTCACAAAATGGAAAATTGGGCTATGGAAAACACCCAGGGGATCCAGGTGTTTGAATAAGACTGTATCCAGGTCAGGGCGCCTGGGTGGCTCAGATGGTTAAGCATCTGCCTTCAGCTCAGGTCCTGATCTCAGGGTTCTAATATGAAGCCCTGTGTCAGGCTCCTGGCTCAGCAGGGAGTCTGCCTCTCCCTCTGCCTCTGCCTCTCCCCCTGCTCATGCTCTCTCTCTGTCTCTGTCTCAAATGAATAATAATAAAAAAAATCTTTAATTAAAAAAAAAAAAGACTGTACCTATGTCACAGGGATAGGAAAACCCTTAAGGAAATTGTGAATGGCTGTATTCCAACATCCGGATTTGTTTTCTCCCCTAAAATTCCTTCAATTCCTTTTATAATGAAAACATTTTAAGAAGAGATCATGTTAAAAGGATGAAGTCCATTTTAGTGCCTATTTAATTAGGAACCCAGGATAGGACAATTACAAAGACAAGTTCAAAAAACTAGCCTTTTTCTTTGAGTCAGTTATTTCATTTTGCTAAAATAGTCAAAGTTCTTTTGTCTCAGAGACATAATAGTAGTAAGAAGAAATACGCAAGCATAGAGCTTTTGAAATGCCATGTTTGTCTTCAAGGCACCTGAAGCTACAGTAGCCATTCAATTTTTTAAATGTGAAAGTAGTGAAGAGCAGGCCCATATGATTGCAATAGCATTTCAAACACAATACAGTGGAGAAAATGTTGAAGTCTAACAGGCTTGGGTTTGAATCCTGCATTTTAGCTTGCCCTAGGCTGCGTTCTCCAGAAGCAGGGCTTGAGATGAGGATGTTTGGGAAAGGGATTTATTAGGAACCTTTCCAAGGGACATTGGTTCCGGAGTAGGGAAATGGGCAGGGCAGGGGAGCCAGCCTAGCCGGGGTGCAGCCTCAAGGGAAGCTGGCTGAGAGTCAGGTTGACTTACTCTCCTGGGCTGATCTGGAGGCCGTGGGGGTCACATATGAGAGGTCTCCCCACTGGGGGCCAGGGAGCTGTAGTCCCAGTGCCCTCACACCTATTAGTCATTGGTTAAGTAAGGGCTGTCACCCTGCCTTGGTGGTGGGGAGGAGGGAAGGCTTAAACTCCCAGCACTTGTGACTTCCCACGGCCACTGGCAAAGTGAGCTCTGGTGTCCTGGGGCAGCCCTAGACAAAGTCCCAGGTACTGGCTGCTAAGAGTGGAGTACTCCATGGAGTGGAGCACACAAAAATGGCCAAAGGATCAAGGGCAATATGACATTACCTGTTACATACCTCTTAGTAGCTGTGTGGCCATTGGTATCCAGCTTTGGGCTTTTGAACTTGTGCTTTCTCCTCTATAGACTGGAAGTGACAGTACTCTCTCTCTCTCTCTCTCTCTCTCTCTCTCTGTCTGTCTGTCTCTCTCTCTTTCTCATAATGGCATTTGTGGATGAGACTGAGGGAAGGGAAAGAAGGAGGGAGGGAGGTGATTTTATGCATTACGTGATAAGGGGAAAGGTTGAAGAGTAGGGCTTGGTAGAACAGAAAGAACATAAAAAGAAAAATCTGACCAAGAAACTGAGAGAAGAAATATTCATGTGTTTATACAACAACTATTTATTGAGTGCTCAGTATATGTGGTGTACTGGGGGAAGAAAAGTAAAGACCGCAATTGCTTTGTTATCAAGTGAGTGGATCAAAGTTCCCAGTTTCCCTTGACCTTTGACCACTGGTTTCTCCTCCTCCTCTGAGGTGGTGCATTAACCTTCTCAGCCTACCCTTTGACCTAGGTGGAAATCGCAAAGGTAACTTTGATTTTCTGCCCTCAGGCCTTTCATGCAGGGGACTCCATCTTTCCCACCTACCTTAATTCAGCATCCACTGGGTGCTGGACACACACCTGGAGGGCTTCACAGTCTGCTGGGAGAGGCGTGGCCATACTTAAGTGTGGCTGTGCATTGGAACAAAGGTGCCTTCAGGATTCCCAAGTGCCTAGAGCCCAGGGTGGGCGAGGCTGTAGTGCTGGAGGCTATGGAAAGCTTGGCAAAAGAGGAACCTCATTAGGAATTAAAAAGTAGTTTTCTAGAGGGAAAATTGGAAGGTTTTCCAGGCTAATTGGTTCAGCAACTACTACGTAAACAACTACTATTCATTAAAACTTGTTGAATTGGGTAATTTTTAATTGAAATTTTCAAAACAGCATAAAATGCGGGTTGGACAAAATTTGGAAGAATGTGGAAGTCCTTATTTAGGCTTCAAACAAAGGGTCCTAGTTGGATAGCGACCCTTATGGGACTTATTAAGTAGTCTAATTAAGGTTCTAAAAGTTAATACTATTGGCATCCTCTTGGGATTTGGCTCCTTTGGATTTAACATTAGATTACTAAAATAGATAAATATTGACAGTGGGCCATGGGATGAAGAAATAACATCTCTGTGCTCAGAGTTTTACATTTTATATTTGATCCTCACAACCCTAATAACTTACATTTTGTGAATGTGTCCAAAGTCATTGAGCTACTAAGTAGCAAAGGTGGGCTAAAACCAGATCAGACCCACCTGCCATCCAAAGCCATGCTCTTAACCATTGTCATTACCAGTGTTACTAACTAGCCACAGTGTCTAGGCTATAAAATGTGTTCATTTAATCAGCAAGTGAATGTTGAAGATCTATTCTGTTCATAAAACTCTGCTTGATGCGGAACTTAGCAATTGATTGGATGCAAG